ATTCTTTTTCTGTTCCAAGAGATGCTGAAAACCTTTACCGTATTTTTTTACTAACTACTGAAGGCCTGGTCTACAAACCATTCGTATATGTTTCTAGTCAGAGTATCTTTATTTGTAATCTTTTTCAGCTTTTAATGCCGGATTGAAGAGGCGTAAACAAGGCTCCCTTGCTGTTAGTTGCCTAGGGTATCTTTCTATCGTCAAATCTATCCTCAAGGGGTGAATAACGCTGTCAATTTCGATTACCAAAATCTTGTTAGGCGAACATTTGAGGTAAGATTCCCAATAATCCTTAGTGTTAACAGCAGCAGCCAAAGAACATATATTTCGCCTCTTAACTATGACCTGTTATCCAGTAATCCGATCGTTATTCGCTCTCTGCAACAGTGACTCAGAAGTTGGATATTAGGAAGCTTCCTTATACAGCATAAAAATAATTTTTTTTAGATTACTTTTTTGAAATATTTGCGTAGAAAACAGCGTATCACACGGTAAAGACTATCGTCCGTTCCGAAAAATGGGAAATTCAATGCAGATATTTTATCAGTATTTTTAGTCAAACATAAGACCACAACCTACGCCTTTTGCATATTCTCTTGCATTTAACGCTGAACAGAATGGACTAAGCCAAAAGCAAAGAGAGCATTTTTTTGTCGTGACCATGAAGGCTAAGCAGACTGAAACTGTACAAGAAATATGCATAAATGACTGCATGCAATAACTACAATCTGCCAGTCAATCAGATTCAATGACTTCTTATCCCTTAAAATGAAACAGACATGTCATTCGATTTCTTCAATATATTCGCATTTATGTCCCGTTGCTTGAGCTTCAGCAGAAGATGACCTTAGTTTCGAAGGACGATGTCGATGCTCTTTCGAAAAATAGTTCTTGGCCGTCCCCTGGAAACATTGACCGGTTGGTTGATCAGGCAGCAGCTACTTTGCTTTCTTTCCCGGATGCTTCCGCAACACATGTCCAAACGGTCATAACTGTGATTACTCAAACTAAGGAAAAGCAGGGGTTGTAAGCCAAGGCTTCTAGGTAACATAAACTTTGGACCATGCCGAAATACGTGAGCTCCACACATGTTACTGATGGCTTTAAATTTAGATTTGGCTTCCGTCAAATAAACAGTTATTCGGTTAGTCAGTTTCGGTTACCGCTTGTTCGTACTTAATGCATAACACCGCGGCTGACCGTGTCAATTCGCTGGTCTTCTCTTCCTCCAATTTTTTTCACCATTAAACCCGAACCCGAAGTAGGTGAAAACTGAAATCCTCCACCTGTTCCACTGTTTCTACGAGTACTTGAAGACCGCAACGGCGATGAGAAGGAGGAAGTACTAGGCTTTTGGTTTTATAAATTTTCGCAAGCATTCCGACCACTTCGCAGTCACTGTGAACTCTTTCCAGAGACCGCTAACAATCATTTTCAAAAGATGCCAACAAGGCAATTTTATAGTCGCTACCTCAATTTGCAGATACACTCACCGTAATGGCTGGGAATCACTATCCGCGTACATTACAAACAAAACGGAGGATGAAAACAATCTCTGCGGAAACAAGTGCAACAGTTGACATTCCTCGTGTAAGAACCATTTCCTCTGACACAACAGCAGCTGTTTCAACATTTAGTCACTGAATAACTCCCACAACTGATAATCCCTCCCATATGTCTTGACTCACGTAATCCAGTATATTGACTTTCTACAGATCAGCAAACCACCTGTAAGCTTAATAAAGAAAATCCCATGATTTCTCAAGAATCTTGCGTATCGCAGAGATCCAGCCAGAGGAAATTTGGCCTTACTGCAAGCCACACTGTTTTTCTTCGGGTTTATATTCGAGTTTACCCCTGGAATCTACTTTTCAACACCCTTGCGCAGACTTTTTCCTGAGATGATAATCTAATGTCCTGATAATTGGAGCACCCATATGGTCTCTTTTTTTTTGAATAGGGGTACTGAAACCTTAGTTAT